TACTACTACTGCTACTACCTACTACGACTATTACGAATGATAGCACTACGAATGCGACTCCTCCTACTACTACTACTACTACTACTACTACTACTACTCATACTACTGATACTACTCCTAATCATACTAGTACTACTGCAATTACGACTATTACGGTTGCTGCTGGTATTACTACTACTACTACTACTACTACTACTACTACTACTACTACTACAACTGATGATGATGGGACTACTACTACTACTACTACTACTACTACTACTACTACTACTACTACTACTCCACTGTTACTACGACCCCTACTGATATTACGACGACAGCGACGGCGACTAAGACTACTACGACTGCTACGACCACCAACTACTACTCTTACTACTACCTACTACTACTACTACTACTACAGCTACTACTATTGCTACTGCTACTACTACTACTACTACTACTACTATTTCTACGACGAAGACGACGACGACTACTACTACTACTACGGCGACGATGACCACTACGAGTACTACTACTACTACTATTACTACTACCGGCCACGAGCACTACGACGGCGACGACGAGGACGACGACTACTACTACTACTACTACTACTACTACTACTACGACGATTTGCCAAAGTAGTACGACCACCACTACTACCACCACGACTACTGCCACCACGACTACCCCTACTACTCCTACTACTCCTACTACTCCTACTACTATTACTAAAACTAAGACTAATACTAATAACAATAGTGCGAAGGCTACTGCTACTGCTACTGCTGCTGCTACTACAACTACTACTACCACGCATACGGCCACTACTACTACTACTACTACTGCTACTACTACTACTGCTACAACTACTACTACCGCGAGTGCTACTACTACTTGTAATAATACTATTCATGCTATTAATATGCTACTGCTACTGCTACTGCTACTACTACTACGACTCCTCCTACTACTACGAATACTACTGCTACTACTATTCTACTGTTACTATTCAGTAGTATCAGCGGGCAAGAAGCGTTCTGGGGTTTGACATCACATACAAGCGAAAACGGTTATAGCCCATGTCACACCCCATCCCCATCGTCACGCGTCCCAGACACCTTGGAAAGACCAGCAACATCGTAGTGGTAGTAGAAAAAAAGAACAAAAAAAAAAAAAAGAAAAAAAAAAAAAAAGTAAAAAAAAAGTAAAAAGAAAAAAAAAGTAGTTGGGTGACTTTCTTAAGATGGTGTTTTTTGGGGAACCAGATTAGGGAGATATAGAGTTTTGATTTTTTTCGTTGAAGACAGTCGCAGCGGCAACAATACCACAATCGCATCATAAAAAAAAAGGGCGTGTTCGAAATCAGTTGCAGTTCAGCAGGCATCCCAATCAACACACAAAGAAACAACCACAATACACATCAACAGGGCACCCGTAAACAAGAATCATAGCATATTTGCTCAAAATAAAGAAAAGGAAAAACAGTAAAACATAACAGCGCGCAAAGGTTTTTTACGTGCAAAATTTTTTCAAAAAAATGTCCGACAAATTCAAACAAATCAAGGCCAACCAGATCGTGATTTCAAGCCGTTCTCTGGGCACGTGTACCGCTTGGGTGCCAGTGGCGACGTTCTACGCCAGCGTTCCCCCCCAACAACCCGTGGTAGTTCTTCGAGTGGACGCGACCAGCCGGCACAGTTCCAGAATATTCCGATACTTGTGGACTCGCAGGACCTTGATGACGGTGTGGCGAGCGATTCCGACATTCAGATCATCACGCAGGCGAAGGGTCCTTCTCGCGCATGGTACACATCAGCAGCGCAGCGCATGGTAATGCGTGCTGCCCTGCCCGCGGTGGGTATAGATGGGCACCCAGAAACTTGAAAAGGGCTTCGGGCAGTGGCAACGCATATTACCATGCGCTGCGCCGTTGAAGTGCAACTTGCAACCGAGAAACTTGCCCCCGAGGCCATCGAGGAGACGAAAACCGTGCTATCTGGCTGGTTGGTTGCCATCCCACAGCACCGTTTCACTGAGAAGTTGGCTTCTGATGTCGAGGAGCTCCTTGCGCGATTCGTTCTTTTGGAGAGCTGTTTCGCAGCAGGTTGGTCAACCTATTCAATCATGACAACACTGCATGTCCTGAAGTCGGATTACGACCAGATCAAGCAGAGCGTCGAACCCTTCGTCGGACAGGCAAGCAGCGAGATCGATGAGCGCGACGCCAAGCGTTCCAAGCTGTCCTGAATACGTTGCCCAGGCATGGTGCAGAGCAGCGCCCCCAGGAGTCTGGAAAACGCACCAGAGTCACCATCGCCATCATTATCAACACAATCCTCATTTTCATCATCATCATCATCATCAGCATCATCATCATCACCAGCATCGTCGTCATCCTCGTCAACAGCATCACCGCTAGCGACTGCACATGGTCAGGATCAGAGCCATCAGACCCATACTCGGAACCAACACCGCCAACAATGACTAATCACCAACATTACTGCACCCAACATCAGAACCATCATCGTCAACAACACCATGGGCAACGTACATGTACACATACATCTGACGCATCCGTTCTGCTGAAGAGCGTCACTCAGTGTGTCCTAGGTCCTAGGTGCTCAGAGTCTTGCATTCGGGAGTCAGAGAGGCGGGCCGTATTTCTTTGGATGTTCTAGACTTCTAGCCCCCCAATACTTCTCATTACAATCCTCCTCCTCCTTACCGCCCTCCTCGCCCCACTACTTGAGAGCAACGTCCCACCCCCAAAACCAACAAACACATATATGCACAATGCGCTCCAGAACTGAATCGATCAAACTGCGCGCTTGACGGAATTACCATATGCGAAATCTGATGATCAACATCGGACGTTAGCCGCAGCCATTTTGGCTCAAACGCAAGCGGGCCCAACATGCCTCGCACCAAGGGCGCAGACCTCGACAATTCCGTCGCCGCCGACTTACTCGGTAAGCATGCTCCCGTAGGAAAACGTAAGCCACGCGAACTGTGGCATGTTGCAATGGCCAAATCTGGCCTCACGAGCTCTTGGGCAACGATCAAAGACACGCAGCCGCTGTTGTCCGACATCCTAGATGCCACTGGCGGTCGTATTCCGAGGCAGCTGGCGCTGACAGCCCAAGCCAACACGTTTCTCAAACGCCATAACATGTTCTGGAGTTTAGCGGATGTGGAGTTGGCGGTCAAATGCTTGCGCTGCATGATGCAGAACTTGTTGTCCAAGAAAACGCAACGAATATGCTTTTCCCGGGAAGTTCTCATGTTTGCAATGCCTCACGGACAAGATGATCATCGACGATGCCACTCCTGACAAGGAGAACGCCGTCATGCGAGGCAGAAGAGGGCCTTGCCATTACGGGCGAGCCCAAGCCCGACGAGCAGAAGGCCATGATTGACGATCTGCAGTACTTCGAGCACGCCCTGTTTGCCATGGCGGTTCCAGAGGCGCGCTCCGCGATCTCGCGCCAGTCTGAGTTCCAGCTGTGGTCGAGCCTAGTGCCTATCACGGGCGCAGCCGCGCCCCCGACCGCGAAGGCCTTGCGACAGGCTTGGTTTGTGCTGAAACAATCCTCCTACTCCTCCTCGTCCTCCTCCTCCTCCTCATCATCCTCCCCAACATGTTTTAACGTGATTAAAAACATGTTGCGAATTATCAGCAACCTCCTCCTCCTCCTCCTCCTCATCGTCATCCTCCCCACTCTCGTTGTCCTTCTCTTACTTCCCGAGGCTGCGACGCCCGCCGTGCATCATGAACCAGCTGGTGAGCCAGCTACACGCCGTCAAGAACCACAGCCCAAACCAGCCCCGCGAGAGAAACCAACGCATCGGATTCGCAGCAAGCGCAGGCTTGGCGATTGGTGCGTGGATGAGCTCACGTACAGCAGTGTTGATGACTTGCTCGATAGCGACGGTCCGAAGCCCAGGCCGCTCACACCCAAGGACTACCTCGCAAAGTCGAAGAAGGGCAAGCGGGGCAAGGGCAAAAAACAGAGCACGAACGAGAACAAGGAACCAGGGGCCAAAGGGGGTATGATGAGACGGCCTGCAGCGGCCACGCCAACTTCTCCCAAGAAGAGCACCGTCCCAAACCCTGGTCGGAAGTTCGATTGGATTTCAGAGTATGAGCCTGACGTTGACGATGATGATGACATCCTCGAGGTTAAAAAGCGCGTTCATAGCAAAGCGAGGCACTCTGAACGGAAGTACTTGCTAGCTAGGAAGGCCTCTGACAGCGACGCGAAGGCAAAGGCCGCGACCGTCGCTGCAGAGGCGGTGCAGGCATGGCAGAAGTTTTTCGGCATCAGCCTCTAGGCGATAGAGCGTTTTCTTTGGGGGGGGGGAGGGCTAGTCCACCGAACTAGTTCGCAGCGTTCGCGGGCGTCGTCCGTCAATGCAATCGTCTCTATGAGTGTCATCCCCCATCGTCTGTGCCTGGGCCTCCTTCGACTCCGCCTCCTCCTCCTCCTCCTCCTCCTGCTCTTTCTCGCCCCCGTCCTTCTCTTCCTGATCCCAACCCTCCCCCTCCTCCTCCATCGGGTGCAATGTGGGCGGATGCAACGCTGGAGGGCCCTTTCTCGTCACCATTGCAACGTTCGTCGGGAACAAAGCGGCATCGACCCATGCCAAGGTCGACGGCTCGATCCAGACAAAAACAAAACAACAATAATCAAAAGTCAAACGAAGTCAAACGTTTGACCTTTGACTTTGACCTCTGAAACAACATATATATGACATCGCAGGCCAAAGTCAAAAATCAAACGCTTGACTTTGTTTGACTTTTACGTTTGACAATTGACTGGTCATGTGAATTCCTCTGGGCTGCTTCGGGCGTCTGCGACGCCCTTCCGGCTGCCCCCCCCCCCCGCCGTGGCGCCAGGGGCGTGGCGCGCGCCGCTCCAGTCTGGCATCCGTCCCTTCCATAGCCATTTTGGCCCAAGCAACGTTGCGAGCTTGATTCTTATTTTTGCGAGTTGTGCGCAGACCTGACACCTGCGATGGCCCCGAAGAGTGGCAGGGCGAAGGCTGGCGCCAAGGTCAAGCTGTCAGCCCTCACGCCGTCCGAGACGGAGCTGGCGGCGGCGAGGTCGCTGCGGGCAGGCGTCGACGAGAAGGCCAAGCGCGGCAAGATGGCCAGCATGGTCCACTTCCTGGAGAAGAAACCCGACCTGGTTGCGTCAAGCAGCCGTGGTCAGCAGCGCCAGCAGTACCTCAGTACTTCCTGGTGCACCAGGTGCGCCAGAAGAACGCGACCTCGACAGAGACGGTCAAGGAGACCACGAGCAACCTCCAGCAGAAGATCGCCCAGGTTCACTGGTGGTCGGCCGATCGCATGGACAGGGAAATGGGGGCCGCCAAGGCGCAGCACTGGAGGGGCGGCGGCAAGATCAAGAATCGCCCAGATCAGCTGACGGGCTCGACTGAGAAGGATCACATTGAATGGTGCGTCCCTGTCAGCTGGGAGCAGCTCACGGAGTCAGATCTTCGTGAGCTCGGGATCGTCGTTGACATGGAGGCCGACGCCGAGAGCCACGCCAACTTCCAGGCGGCGAAGGTGTTCGCCAACGAGAAGGACTTGTCCACGGACGGGACGAGCAGCGGGAGCGGCATGAAGGAGCTCGCCGAGAAGGTTGCCAACTTCAAGTCGAACCTCCAGGCCGAGCTCCTCAAGTACCAGGACTACAAGCTGGACATCCAGCTCATGATCACGAAGGCGCAGGCCGACCCCAAGAGCAAGTACGTTCAGGCTCATGCGGGCGCAGCTCCTCCTCCTCCCCCCCCTCCTCCTCCTCCCCCTCCTCCTCCTCCTCCTCCTCCTCCTGTCCCCTGACCTCCTCATCCTCATCCTCCTGCCGCATCCCTGCTCGTTGTTTTTTCCCCAACCATCCTGTGGTGTTGGGTCCTCGTTTTGAAGAGACGGTGCCCCGCGTTCCCTCCTCCTCCCGCTGCCCCCTCCCTCCCCCCCTCTTCCCTGCGTTTCACCCACCCAGTGCAGCGTTTCGTAGCCCCATAGGAGCTCCACCGAAGGCCCCAATGCCCGCGCCCGCATGCGCCACCCACACCCAATTCGGCACACCGCTCACACGCTTCGTGGCTCCATAGGGAGCTCCACCGAAGGCCCCAGTGCCCGCGCCCGCATGCGTCACCCACACCCATTTCGGCACACCCCTCACACGCTTCGTGGCTCCATAGGGAGCTCCACCGAAGGCTCCAGTGCCCGCGCCCGCATGCGTCACCCACACCCATTTCGGCACACCCCTCACACGTTTCGTGGCTCCATAGGGAGCTCCACCGAAGGCCCCAGTGCCCGCGCCCGCATGCGTCACCCACACTCATTTCGGCACACCCCTCACACGTTTCGTGGCTCCATAGGGAGCTCCACCGAAGGCCCCAGTGCCCGCGCCCGCATGCGTCACCCACACCCATTTCGGCACACCCCTCACACGCTTCGTGGCTCCATAGGGAGCTCCACCGAAGGCCCAAGTGCCCGCGCCCGCATGCGTCACCCACACCCATTCGGCACACCCCTCACACGTTTCGTGGCTCCATAGGGAGCTCCACCGAAGGCCCCAGTGCCCGCGCCCGCATGCGTCACCCACACCCATTTCGGCACACCCCTCACACGCTTCGTGGCTCCATAGGGAGCTCCACCGAAGGCCCCAATGCCCGCGCCCGCATGCGTCACGCACACCCAATTCGGCACACCCCTCACACGTTTCGTGGCTCCATAGGGAGCTCCACCGAAGGCCCCAGTGCCCGCGCCGCATGCGTCCCCCACACCCATTTCGGCACACCCCTCACACGTTTCGTGGCTCCATAGGGAGCTCCACCGAAGGCCCCCCAGTGCCCGCGCCCGCATGCGTCAGCCACACCCATCGGCACACCCCTCACACGTTCGTGGCTCCATAGGGAGCACCGAAGGCCCAGTGCCCGCGCCCACATGCGCCACCCACACCCATTTCGGCACACCCCTCACACGTTTCGTGGCTCCATAGGGAGCTCCACCGAAGGCCCCAGTGCCCGCGCCCGCATGCGTCAGCCACACCCATTTCGGCACACCCCTCACACGTTTCGTGGCTCCATAGGGAGCTCCACCGAAGGCCCCAGTGCCCGCGCCGCATGCGTCCCCCAAACCCATTTCGGCACACCCCTCACACGTTTCGTGGCCCATAGGGAGCTCCACCGAAGGCCCCAGTGCCCGCGCCCGCATGCGTCAGTCACACCCATTTCGGCACACCCTCACACGCTTCGTGGCCCCATAGGGAGCTCCGCCGAAGGCCCCAGTGCCCGCGCCCGCATGCGTCAGCCACACCCATTTCGGCACGCCCCTCACGCGTGTTCCGTGGCCCCATAGGGATGCTCCTCCGCCGAAGGTCCCAGTGGGTGTGCCCGCGTGCGTCCCGCACACACCATTTCGGCACACACCCTCACACGTTTCGTGGCCCCATAGAGAGCTCCACCGAAAGCCCCAATGGGTGTGCCCGCATGCGCCCCGCACACCCATTTCGGCACACCCCTCGTACGTTTCGTGGCCCCGTAGGGGGCTCCACCGAGAAGATATTCGCAATTGCATATGGTTGGGTCCTTCGCCAGGAAATGTTCTTCTCTTTTGTTTCAAATCGGTTTGGGAAAAATCAAACCTTCCTTCCTCCTCCTCCTCCTCCTCTTCCTCCTCCTCCTCCTCCTGCTCCATCTTCTTCTTGGTCTCACTCGTCGGCGCAGGCACCGAGCCTAGGCCAAGTTGGTAGAAATCACAACTCGCCGAATGGTAATCCCTACCCGAGCCTCCTTTCCCTCCTCCTCTTCCTCCTCCTCCTCCTCCTCCTCTGCCTTCATTGGCAAAGTGTTCAATCATTCGCAGTCTGCAGGTGTTCATGGTCGACGCTGAGAAGGTCGTCGCAGAGCTCGGCAAAGTCACCAAGATCATCGAGAAGATGGCGACCGACCCTTCGAATGACACGAAGGTTCCAGAGTTCATGAGCAAGCTCGAGGATCTCGACTCGCAGTGTCAGGAGATTGACACGTGGGCGTCTACTTTCGGCTTCAAGCCAGTCCCCAAGAAACGCGCGAGGGCGTGAACCTGAGCAGGGCCCGAGTAGGCTTTCCCTGGCCAGAAGAGGAGGATGAGGAGGAGGAGGAAGAGGTTGCTGAGAACGCGCAACATGGTTTTAATCACGTTGAAACATGTTGGGAGAAGGGGAGGAGGAGGAGGAGGAGGAGGAGGAGGAGGAGGAGAAGGAGGAAGAGGTTGCTGAGAATGCGTAACATGTTTTAATCACGTTAAAACTGTTAAAAGGAGGAGGAGGAGGAGGAGGAGGAGGAGGTAGGAGGAGTACAAGGAGAGGAGGGGTAGGTGAGGAGGAGGAGGAGGAGGAGGGGGAGGGGGAGGAGGAGGAGGAGGAGGAGGGGGAGGAGGAAGAAGAGTTTTTTTTCCCCAAACCGACTTGAAACTAAACAACAACAAAACAACCAAACAGGGAGGCGGGAGGAGGGAGGGAGGAGGAGGAGGAGGAGGAGGAGGAGGAAGAGGATGGGATTTGTTCAAACCGAATTGACAACAAAGAAACAACGAACAGGGAGGCGGCAGGAGGACGAGGATGAGGAGGTCAGGGGATATGAGGGTGGAGGAGGATGAGGAGGAGGATGAATCCGAGGATGATGAGGACTAGAGATGAGGACGGCCTGGCTTCGTATCGTCTGAGATCTACACGTTGTTTTCAATAGTCGGCTCAGTAGCCATCAGCACGTCATGCAACTTCGGGTGATGCATGCCTGCCAACTCTCACCTCACCATCTCTTTCTCAATGCCCATGCGATGTTGGCTCGTTCCTACTTCCTACGTGCCGGTCTCATGTTTTGGATTCTTCGTTGGCGTCGGTGCGCAAGTTGCATCTGCCCGAACGGTGCTGATCGAACATCAGGCTCCCATGGGGGCGGGATGAGTGTAGTAAAAAACGTATTATCAACCCAGTTGTGGCTTACGGTATGCCTCACACTTGTGCGCACGCTCACAATAGCACGCCTGGCACATGCCCACTCACGCTCAGACTCACTCCTACTTAGACTCACTCATACTCAGATCCGCTCATACTCAGACTAACCTACGTTCAGACCCACTCATACTGAGACCACTCTGACCCAGACCCAGTCATATTCACACTCACGCATTTTCAGACTCGCTCACATTCAGACTGCGAACTCGTTTGCGCCACACGCATTTGAGATGTGACTGAGAGCGCGAGGGGAATGATTGCTACTGAAGCAGGGTCGCACGCAAGCAATAATGAACAATATGACCATTAAACAAAAAAGCACACCTACATGAAATAAACAAGCATCGAATTACACATGGTTATCATGTACTTGGTTCGTTACCATTGTCGGCGTCATCGCCATCCGTATCATCATCATAGCTATCATCGTCATCGCTATCATCATCACTATCGCCATCCGTATCATCCGTATCCTCATCATCGCTATCGCCATCCATCCGTATCATCATCACCAAACCCGATCACAACAATCACCAACATCACCATCATAGTCATCGTGCGTAACCGTTTTGGCTCGAGCCCAACTCGTGCAACTAGAGCGCTGCAATGGCGCCATTGTGGGTATCCCTCTTGTTGTGGCTGGCTCCTGGGCACGACGCCGTAGGCGTGCGTCGTCGCTTGGAGCTCGCCGCCGAGTCTGCAGGTGGCGATCCCCCTGAAGAAGTTGCCGAGGGACGTCGGCCCAGGGGAGGCGTTCGTCAGCGCCTCCTCGCTCACGCTGCATCGGCATCGTCTTCTGGAGTACCACATGCTGCGGATCGAGGGTCTCTATGGCAAGAGCTGCTCGTGGACTGGGCCAAAGGCTCCATCACCAGCGCCCAAGTCCAGCGCTTCGCGCTGGGTGCCGTGGGCCAGGGGGCCAGTGGACTAGACCCGCTTGCAAAAGCAGGGACTTGGGGGCGGCACAAACAGAACATATTTCAGCAGATGGTCAGTGCGTTCGGCCGACCTGCAGGGTCACCAGGCTTTGACTGGATGGAGTTGCCTACGGCTAAGGGCCCGAAGACTCCGCATCCGTTTTTACTTCCTCACAAATTCTTCAGCACGTTCTTCAATGAATTGCCTGCGCGATTCCGAGATACTGTGAGTGGGCCCCGTGGGGCGTGTGGGCAGTTTTGGGAATCAATTCGCTTTAGTGACTTTGTAAGGCGGCACCCCAACTTACCCCGACATCTGTGGGGTCAAATCGTGCCCTGGGGGATGCACGCAGATGCAGGGGCGTTCAATGCCCGCGACTCGCTCTATGTCAGATCTTGGAACTCTCTTGTTGGGGCTGGCGGCACCGTTGCCAAACGTTTTATTTTCACTGTGCTTCGGAAATCCGAGATGCGAGCAGATACATTAGATGCTGCATTGAAGATCTTTTCGTGGTCTATGAATGCTCTTCTCACAAGGGTTGCACCTCCGGAAGACCCGCAAGGCCGACCGCATCGAGATGCAGGGCAGGAGCTGGCAGAAGGCTGGAGGGCTGCATTGTGTCAAGTGAGAGGGGATTGGGCATTCTTTTGCGAGTGCTTCCATTTCCCAGCATGGAACTCTGCTGCCCGCATGTGCCCATGCTGCATGGCATCGTCGACGATACCTCATTTGTTGTTTTCGAACACGCGCAAGGACGCACCTTGGAGTATTTGAGGCATTTGCATGTTGAAGGCTTGGCTGTGCCTGTGTTGTTTGCGTGCCTCCTCGGCTTCCGCCTCGAGTGCGTCATGGTCGACGTGCTGCACACCGTCGACCAGGGTGTGGCGAATCATATCGTGGCCAGCGTCATTTGGCTGGTGGCTGTGGTTAAATCTTCATTCGGTGGTGCGAACCAGACAGAAAAAATAAAGCGACCCATGGGATACATGAAAGAGTGGTACGAAGGTCAGAAGGTCTCATCTCGCGTTTCGGGGAAAATAACAATTGATCGACTGCGGACAGCTGGCGGGTGGGCAACACTTAAGGCGAAAGCTGCCGCCACTCGTCATCTCTCGAAGTTTGCTCTTCACCTTATGGAGAGGTTCGGCACGCACGCGCGCGAGGAGCGCATGGTGTTGTACATCTGCAGGCTGTTGGTGCGATTCTATGACATTCTTGAGTCCGAGTCCCAGTTCTTAGGGGCAGGCATCAGAGAGGAGCTGCCCAAACTTGGCCAACAGTTGGCAGAGCTTTACTCTACTGTTGCCACGATCTGTTTCGATCTCGACATAAGAATCTTTAAGATGAATCCTAAGTTGCACCTTTTCGAGCACCTCTGTGAGTTTCAATCCGTATTGTTCGGCAATCCACGGTATTGGTGGACTTACGCCGACGAGGACCTCGTCGGCCGCATGATCGAGATCGCGGAGTCCGTTCACCCCACAACGCTCGCTGCCAGCGTTCTCTTCAAGTGGGTGCTACTGTTTTTCGGTTGCGAATGACAGGTCATCGTCAGCATGTCCTCGTCGTTCCTCCCTCCTTTTCCTTCCTCCTGCTCCTGCTCCTCCTGCTCTTTCTCTTTTTCCTCCTGCTTCCTCTCACGGCGCTCTCTCTTATGGGACGCCTTGCGGCATTGCTCCGCCTGCTCCACCCCCCCACTTGCTCGGCTCTTGGGATCTCGAAGGCCTCGTGGGGAACTATTATGGATCTTGAAGTCTTTTGGCCTCGTGAGATCCCTTGGGGACTCGTGCGTCTCATGGGCCCCATCGGGTCTCTTGGGCTGTTGTTCTTGGGACACACGGGGTCTCACAAGGGCACCCCATGGGGTCTCGTACGTCTTTTGGGGTCTCTAGGGTTATCTTGGGCTCCTGGGCTATATCGGTGTATCCTGCGTTCTACAACACGGGTGACAACAAGCCATGCGCAACCTCACGCATATGCGCGTGCAAGTACACGCACGTCCTTCCACATGTGTAAACATATATGCAAATCGTGCCGTTTGCACATTTCATGATGATTTAAACATATTTGCGCAATTTTATGAGCATGTATCAGGATTTACGTGCGAAACATACACATAGTCATCAACATGTGTAGAACCCACACGTACATGTCCCAAGTCGAATCGTCATAAGCATATCTGTGTAATGTTATGCATCAATTAAGCGTTGGGGTCCGTGGGCGCTGGTCAGTTTGCTACCTCGTGGCGTCACACGTCTCACCCGCATTCGGTTGGCGAGCATTGGGGCGCAGAAGGGGGCACAAACTGTAATGATGAATGAAAGAGAAAGAGAGAGAGAGAGAGAGAGAGAAAGAGAGAAAGAGAGGGAAATAGAAAGAGAGAGAGAGAGAGAAAGAAATGAAGAAACACACAAAACAAAACATATATAAACAAAACACACGGGGAAGAACACACACAACGAAATAAACAGAGACATGCCGGAATAACAAAACGGAAAAACATAAAGAGAGAAAGAACGAAGGCGGTTAATTACGGAGACCCCTGCTGTCAATCATGGGTGCCTGTCGGCAATTTTAGAAACCCGTGTCGGCAATTATAAGAACCCGTGTAGCAATAATGGAAGCCCATGTCGGCGAGTATTGTAAACCCGTGCTGTCAATTGTGGAAGCCCGTGTCGGCGATTATGGATTCCCGTGTCGGCAACAATGGAAACCCATGTCGGCAACTATGGAAACCCGTGTGCGGTTATGGAAACCCGTGTTCAGTTATGGAATCCTTGGCTGCCGAGCACTGGGACCTTCGGTGGGACTCCCTATGGGGCCACGAAGCCCTGTACTGGGTGGGTGAAGCGCAGGGAGGAGGGGGAGGAGGGCCACGAAACGCTGTACTGGGTGTGCGGGACGCATGCGGACGGTAGCGCTGGCACTTTCGGTGGGGCTCCCTATGGGTCCACGAAGCGCTGTACTGGGTGTGCGGGACGCATGCGGACGGTAGCGCTGGGACCTTCGGTGGGGCTCCCTATGGGGCCACGAAGCGTGCACTGGGTAAGTGAAACGCAGGGAGGGGGAAGAAGGCGACGAAACGCTGTACTGGGCGTGCGGGACGCATGCGGACGGTATCGCTGGGACCTTCAATAGGGCTCCCTATGGGGCCACGAAGCGCTGTGCTGGGTGTGCGGAACGCATGCGGACGGCAGAAATGTGACCTTCGGTGGGGCTCCCTTTGGGGCCACGAAGCGCTGTACTGGGTGTACACGACGCATGCCGACGGTAGCACTGGGACCCTCGGTAGGGGCTCCCTATGGGGCCACGAAGCGCTGTACTGGGTGGGTGAAGCGCAGGGAGGAAGAAGAGGAGGGCCACGAAACGCTGTACTGGGTGTGCGGGACGCATGGGGACTGTAGGACTGGGAGCTTCGGTGGAGCTCCCTATGGGAGCACGAAGCGCTGTACTGGGTGTGCGGGGCGCACGCGGACGGTAGCACTGGGACCTTCCGTGGGGCTCCCTATGGGGCAACGAAGCCCTGTACTGGGTGGGTGAAACGCAAGGAGGAAGGGGAGGAGGGCCACGAAACGCTGTACTGGGTGTGCGGGACGCATGCGGACGGTAGCACTGGGACCTTCGGTGGAGCTCCCTATGGGGCCACTAAGCGTTGTACTGGGTGTGCGGGACGCATGCGGAGGGTAGCGCTGGGACCTTCGGTGGGGCTCCCTATGGGGCCACGAAGCCCTGTACTGGGTGGGTGAAGCGCAGGGAGGAAGGGGAGGAGGGCCACGAAACGCTGTACTGGGTGTGCGGGACGCATGCGGACGGTGGAGGAGGAGGGGGAAAAGGAGGAGACCGAACACCACAGGATGGTTGGGAACAAGCATTATCCTGGCGAAGGTCCCAACCATATGCAGTTGTGGGTACCGTAATTGTGAATATCCTATGGGGCCACGAAGCGCTGCACTGGGCGGGGGGGAACGCTGTACTGTGTGGGTGGTGTGCCGCATTTGGTTTCCGGGACGCATGTGGACGGTCCCACTGAGGGATTCGGTGGAGCTCCGTATGGGGCCACGAAGCGCTCAACCGAACGAGCGAAAATGCCAAATTGGGGTACCGGGGCGCATGCGGACGGTCCCATTGGGGGCTTCGGTGGAGCCCCCTATTGGGCCACGAAGCCCTGCACTGCGCGCGTGAAAATGCCAAATTAATTACATTTCCCGGACGCAAACGGACGGTGGCACTGGGGCCTTGGGTGGAGCCCCCTTTTGGGGCCACGAAGCGCTGCACTGGGTTGATGAAAATGCCAAATTGGTGTTCTGGAGCGAATGCGGACGAAGGCGCTGGGGCCTTCGGTGGAGCTCTCTATGGGGCCACGAAGCGCTGCACTGGGTTGATGAAAATGCCAAATTGGGGTTCTGGAGCGAATGCGGACGAAGGCGCTGGGGCCTTCGGTGGAGCTCTCTATGGGGCCACGAAGCGCTGTACTGGGTGGGTGAAACGCAGGGAGGAGGGGGAGGAGGGCCACGAAGCGCTGTACTGGGTGTGCGGGACGCATGCGGACGGTAGCGCTGGGACCTTCGGTGGGGCTCCCTATGGGTCCACGAAGCGCTGTACTGGGTGTGCGGGGGCGCATGCGGACGGTGGCGCTGGGACCTTCGGTGGTGCCCCCTATGGGGCCACGGGACGCTGTACTGGGTGGGTGAAACGCAGGGAGGGGGAGGAGGAGGGCCACCAAACGCTGTACTGGGTGTGCGGGACGCATGCGGACGGTAGCACTGGGACCTTCGGTGGAGCTCCCTATGGGGCCACGAAGCGCTGTACTGGGTGTGCGGGACGCATGCGGACGGTAGCGCTGGGACCTTCGGTGGGGCTCCCTATGGGGCCACGAAGCGCTGTGCTGGGTGTGCGGGACGCATGCGGACGGTAGCACTGGGACCTTCGGTGGGGCTCACGCTGTACTGGGTGTGCGGGGCGCATGCGGACGGTAGCACGGGGACCTTCGGTGGAGGTCCCTATGGGGCCACGAAGCGCTGTACTGGGTGTGCGGGACGCATGCGGACGGTAGCACTGGGACCTTCGGTGGGGCTCCCTATGGGGCCACGAAGCGTTGTACTGGGTGTGCGGGACGCATGCGGACGGTGGCACTGGGACCTTCGGTGGGGCTCCCTATGGGGCCACGAAGCGCTGTACTGTGTGCGGGACGCATGCGGACGGTAGCGCTGGGACCTTCGGTCGAGCTCCGTCTGGGGCCACGAAGCGCTGTACTGGGTGTGCAGGACGCATGCGGAAGGTAGCACTGGGACCTTCGGTGGGGCTCCCTATGGCCTATGGGGCCACGCAGCGCTGTACTGGGTGGGTGAAACGCAAGGGGGGGAGGAAGGCCACGAAATGCTGTACTGGGTGTGCGGGACGCATGCGGACGGTGGAGAAAGAGGGGGAAGAAGAGAAGGAGGAGGAACGCGGGAACCGTCTCTTCAAAACGAAGACCCAACACCACAGGATGGTTGGATTCGAATCGTGGGCGCGCGTTGCTGCTCTGGATACGTGGGGCGGCATTGTGCCTAACAATTGGTTCAGCTGTGGTTAGAACGGTTCTTCTTCCCAACATATATGCAACGCCTCTGGCCCAACCCATACTGGAGTATGATCGTGTAGCTGAGAGGCGGGGCAATCGGTGTAAGCGTGTGCAATCTAAACCACATTCAGGTTCAATCGTACCCAGAGCCTATCACTAACATTCCGACTCGCTCCACGTTCTCAACGTTGACGTACATTCTCTTACCAAAGAAGCAATCTCACGCACGCTCATTCAGAGCCACCCACACTCTCAGATCGACCCACACACTGTCATATTCGCTCCTATTGGAATTCGCCAATGTTCGGACCCACCGCGTACATTCAAACTTGGGCACTCCAAGGGGGGGCGACATGGGTACGATACTTGCATTTGCGCTCTGGCCGTGGGGATATTGCGATCGAGGCGTTTGCTCTGGAATGTAAACTTCTTTTCTTAATCATCGCGATGACACTAGCCCAGCCTTTGAGAACCCTCGCCTGCATCTGCACGCTGATCAACACAACATTGAATGTCGACGGTGATGTGTCGCGCGCTGGGAAAGGTGTTACTGGAACTTGCCTTCGTGGGCTTTGAATTTCCAATGCCGCGCGCAACCGTGCATAAATTAGCCTGACCCAACCATGAGCAATTGTGGGTGCCGCAATTGTCAATCTCGTCTTCGGTGGAACTCCCTGTGGGGCCACGAACCTTGTGAGGGGTGCGCTGGCATGAGGATGAAACTGTATGCATGCGAATCCTGCCACTGAGGCCTTCGGTGGAGCTCCCTATGGGGCCACGAACTGTGTGACGGGTGCGCAGAGATGATGGTGGAACTGCATGCGAATCCTGCCACGTCTTCGGTGGAGCTTCTATGGGGCCACGAACAGTGTGAGGCCGTGCAAGAATGGGCGGCGAACGATGACGATGATGGTGATAATGTCGGCCGTAATGGTGATGACGATGGTGATT